TGCATTCTGGAGAACAGGTGGACCTGGCCCTGGATTAGAAGTGGCAGGGAAAGAAAAGAGAAGAACAAAGGTCGATTTGAGTGACTAAGTAGGTCGATTAGGAGGAGGAGGAAATCCAGCACTCTTGAAAATAAACCCTTTGAGACTCTCTATCTACCAAGATCTACCGATTACAGTATTTGAAAGAACTTACCGGACACAGGCCACCTGTCTTCCCCCCCACCCCCTACTTCCTCCACGGCCCCACCTTGACAGCTAAAGCTCACGAGCATGACCGATCTGGGGTGCTCTGGCTTTTGAGGTTTAGTACGGCTGGTTCCTCCAGAGCTGAGGTAGGTAAACTTTTTCTAAAAGGGCCACAGGTACTATTTCAGTCTTTGTAGGTCACATGGTTTCTGTTATGACAACCCAACTCCACCACTGTGGCCCAAAAGCAACCAGACCCATACACCAATAAACACGGCTGTGTTCCTTTGGCCTACGGCCCAATACTTGTGCTCAGGGTTCACAGTCTCAAAGCGCTACAGTCTGGGAACCCAAGGAACCAGGTAAGGATCTTCACAGATTAACAGACGGTGGGCTAGGTCCTGCAGGGTTGGGGAGGAGCTGTCGATGAAGATCTAAGTAAAGTGTTCCAAGGCACGTGGGGAACAGGGGAGGGAGGAATAGACAGAGACTAATTAAGTTCATCTGTAAAAAAAAAAAAGAAATACTACACAATATTGGCTGGGCTGCACCAGCCATCGCTGCCCTGGGAAAGGGCTCCACACATGCAGTTTGCTTTCCTTCCCCAGGCCTACTTCAGATCTATAAATCAGGTGCTCAGACTAATCAACATTCTGTGAGTACATGGGTCATCAACAACACTGCCACATTCCTGGAACAAGACTTCACACCTGTAAAGTCGGTGAGAAGCACATCATCCGGCTTTCAAGGGGTAGCCCTTACTTTGGTGCACAGGGACACTGGAGTCAGAAAGAACCAAATCAAAAGCTTCTTTCAAAACTTCCAACCGACCTGTGTGACCTTTGGCAAAGGACTGAACTGCTCTGAGCTCCAGTTTCTCCATCTATCAAAATGGGAGCGACACGGTACCTGCTTCACAGGAGTGTGGTGAGCGTTAAATGAGGTCCGACCGTGTTTGGCCCACGGTACTTGTGGAACTGTCAATGGAGGCAAACTGCAAAACAAAACAAAACCACCCACATGGCTGTTTTCCATGACCTGATGTTACTTTTCCATGGTCCAAAGGAAGCATTCCGCATCAGATGCATTAAGGTGGAAGTGGAAATGGAAGGCTCAAAATAGAACAAAGCAAATAACTGGCCACTGCGGTAAAGTCAGGAGGGACGTGGGGCCTCAAGGAGGCCACTTGCTTTGAGTCACGTCTCTGCGCACTGCAGTCCCCACGGTGTCCAGAACCATGTGGCAGTCCAGGGCTTCCTAAATGGGGGTTGTACTTGGCTGATTTCTTAGATGACCATTTTCTTAATAGTTTTGATATTCAAAGTCTCTGCTGGTGTCTGCAGACTATAAGGGACAGCATTTTAGATAGAACCTGGGTGCCTTTAGGAATCCCTACTAAGAACCTATGAGAACCTACCAGCTGCCTCTCCTTCCTTGTGGTGAGAGGCCTGCCCTCCAGGCTGCTCTGGGGGCAAGGTGGGGTGAGGCCTGACTTAGAGGATAAAGGGGAAGGGTCTCCTGGCTGGAGGGCTGGGTCTGGAGGCCCAGGCACTCTTGGCTCTGGGGGGCAGGGGGAGGGGGTTGAACTCATGTGGCAGTTGGAACTGATAAGGCCCCCTCATTTGTCACCGACTAACACTTGTGGTTTCCTAGCCAGGGGTCCCAGAGCTGACATCGTCATCCCAGGGCCATTCTGTACAACATGAACAAAGTCTCCCCAGGGTCTGGAAGGCAGGCTTGACTGCTTCTGGAACAGCCGGGGCTTGTTTCACTGTGAAGACGCAGCTCACTGCCTGGGCTCTGGGTGCCACCCCTGCAACGGGGGCCTGTACCACTCCGCCTGGTGGCTCCCCTTCTCTGACCCAGCTCTGGCTCAGCTCCTCAAGGCCGAGGCAACCTTCAAGGAGGAAGGAGAAAGGGGATTCATGGGACTGGGGAAGGGGAGGGCAGGGGCTGACACACGGGTTCCCATTGCCACAAAACTCAGGCTTGGCACCTCGCCAGCACCAGCGGCCCAGCCAGACTGCAGTGTTCAGGAGCTGACCCAAACTTCCTGGGACCTCAGGAAGGGGTGCTTCTTGGGGCTCCTTCTGAATCAGATCACTTCATAGCACATGAGAAGAGGTGACAGAGTAGGAGGCACTCAGGGCACTGACCCAAAGGCAGGGCCCATTTCCTTGGAGAGCTGCAGCTCCAGAGGAAGGCAGGCAATAAACAACCCTACGGGATTACATAAGCTGGCCAAAGGGCTACGGGACACCAGAGGAAAGGATGAGGCCCGCGGGAAAAGGTGTCAACTGCACCTGCTCCCCCAGGGGACCGCCCAGGACAGCCCCTCCAGCTCCCACCTGCACTGACCCCCTCTGGCATGCCCCTCGCCTCTTGGAGGTTGGGTTCTCTTCCTCAACCCCCCCTAACCTGCCACCACCCAGTCTTACTCCTAGGTTCGTACTTTCTGTCTTCCAAGATGGTGAAGAGACAAACTCACAAACCAACTCTTGCACTCTCCTAGCAAACGTTCAAGAAAGCAGCCCACAAGTGGCTCCCAACATCAAGGGATCCGCGAGTACAGTTCTTGTCTATACTGCCAGGCTGCTGAGTTACTGGGGAAAAACCATTTGTCCTCCTTACCCACATAAGAGACAGAATACCACCTTCTCCAAGGGTCACCTTGGGCTGATAATGTACACAAGGCACCTAACACCATCCCCAGGGTAAGGGGCCGTTGATCCATTTCATTCTCCTCTCTGCCAAAGAAAGTCACAGTAGAACTCAGATGCTATGGGGGGTGGGGGGCGCAACAGAACAGAGAAAGGTTATTCTAGCAAATGACCATGATGTCTTGGCCCCTGCTTTGAAATGCACGAAGGAACCACACAAAATATCCAGCAAGTAGGGATTCCTAAATGCACCTGGGTTCTATCTAAAATGCTATCATTTGTAGTCTACAGACACCAGGAAAGACTTTAAAATATCAAAAGTGTTAAAAAATGGTCTTCTAAGAAACTAGCCAAGTACACCAAAGAGGGAAGCCGGAGGGGAAAAAAAACATGGACTACAAAGAATTTTTTTTCTAGATACATCCGTGTCCAATTCCTATAACAAAATTATTTCAGAAGTGAAAGGTTTTTGGTTTTTTTAATACTCTAATCATTGCTTCTTTATGCTAAATGTCTAAATTTAAATTTACTAAGTGTTTGTTTCCTCAAAAGCAGAAGGAGGGACAGAAAAATTTTAACTTCTCACTCAAGTCAGTGGCCCAGGGAGCTTCAGTGTGGTTCTGATTCCCTCCAGGATCGGGGTGGGGACACCCCCACCCCCACCTGGCACACAGCCCCAGTCCCTGGGCAAGAGGGGCTGCACATCTAGGTCCTCACAATCCCAGCCACGGGCATTCTGTACACCTAAGGACGTGTCCTCTAACTATCAGAGGTGGAAATCACCCCCATGCCTGCAGTGGTCCTGTGATTATTCACAGGCACGTTCTAGACCCTCCGAAGACAGAAATCACAATCAACGTGTGACTTGCGTGGTGTTCAGATACCTGTGCTCTATGATGACTGAAGGGCCCCAGCTCCCTCAGAAGCACCATGAATATCAACTCTGTTCTCTCCCGGAGTGGAGGACATGGGGCACGTGGTGGGATGGCTGTGTGTGTATTTCAATCTAAGCAGGAAGAATCAATAATCTCCTTGTATTAACACCTAAATAAAACCAAAATAATCCCCAAGATTTGGCTAAAACCAAATTAATCTCTAGGAGAAGCCTGCTGGGGAGAGTCACGCGGGGGGGCGGGAGTCAGGACGGGAAACAGTTGATCGGCATCCACCAGAGCTGGGGCCACCCTGTCCAGTTTCTTCTTCCTGCTCCCTACCAGCCACCGCGTCACCTCCACAGGGGTCAGGGCCAGGAAGCAGTCATCTTGCAAAGGCGGTCAGATGAGTAGGTGTCTATTTGAGTTGGAAAGAGTTACTTTTTGCACATCTACACTACCGCATCCCAACCGCCAAGGGCCACCAAGAGCCAAAGGTCAAACACCACCCTGGCAAGTTCTAACAAAGAAAGGTGAAAACACAGGGGTCAGGGCCAGGAAACGGTCATCTTGCAAAGGCGGTCAAATGAGTAGGTGTCTATTTGAGTTGGAAAGAGTTACTTTTTGCACATCTACACTACCGCATCCCAACCGCCAAGGGCCACCGAGAGAGAGCCAAAGGTCAAACACCACCCTGGCAAGTTCTAACAAAGAAAGGTGAAAACACACACACACACACACACACACACACAGAGTCAGAAGGCCAAAGAATTGGCATCTTTTAAATGACCGTTTTTATCCAACAAATCTGAATATTCTCCCAAATTAATTTCACCACTTTTTCCTTGGGAAACCAAAAAGGGTTAACTATGACTACAAATGAAAACTGTACCATTTCAAGAAAAAGCACAGAGATAGGAGGGTTTAAAAAAAAACACAAAAACAAGAATGTCAAACACAGCACAAAACACACAGGAAGTATAAAAGCTGGTCATTTTATACTTCTAATGCCAGCCTTGCTGTAGGACCTCAAAGAGCCCAACTACTAATCACACAAGTTCAAGATCCTCACATGCACACACAGGATATGTGGATAAATTCTCCATGTCAGTGTGTCCACTAACAACTTCATTACAGAAACAAAGACAGGCACGTTGACAAGGTTTTATTTGTTACATGACATGAAAGGGAATATGCAATGGTGTGGTCAAGTCGCTGGAGGTGGGTAGATCCCTCTTTTTTAAGTAATAGTTGTTTGTAATCATACTTATAATCTTAAAGTTAAAATTGCATACGCAAATTACAAAGAGCACAAATGACAGAATAAAAGATGGATATTAAATTGCCTCTGTTTTTTAAGCTTAAAAGGCAAACTGACTTAAAACTAGTGGCTATGAGGGGAAGTAACATTCACCATTCATCATATTTACATAAATAAAAAACTCGGTTATTTTAAAAGTTCAAGAACCGGTAAAGACCATTAGAAACATTCTTTTCTTTTTCTTTTTGCAGAGCTGGGAATAAACCTGGAGCCTAACACAGGCTAAGCAGAGAGCTCAGCTATGAGCATTCAGAGTGGGGAAGAGCAGGCAGGCAGCCCGCAGAAGAGAGAGTTTATGGCAGGTATTGAAGGCAACACATGGTCAGACATGCAGAGACACCTTGGTTGGGTTACAACTGGCTCACCTAGGGCCACTCTATCTTCTGGTTGTCCATAGTTACTCATCTATTTTTAAATGCTCCACTATGATCTTATCTAATTGGCACATACAATTGGATCACCTTATTTCCATACTAAAAGTTGTTCCAACTACCTGGCCAGGCCAGGTACCATTCTGCAGAGTGTGCGCTAGCACTCCATTTCTGGCCTTTGGTTTTGAATGGTCCCAGGACCCAGGTTCTCTCAGTAAAACAAGACCATCAAGTGTGTGTTTTCTAAGGAGAGGCCACAGGCTATGGATAAGCAGGGCCTGACCCTCCTGTTGATCAAGGGGGACCTCCTGGGAGCCCCTGGGTTGCAGATCCGTCTTTGAGCCACAGCATCTTGCTCACGTTAGCAATCCCACTTTTTAAGGAGAAATCACCTTTCCAGTGCCTCTCAACTCCTAGCAGAAGGACCCAACGGCAAAGGACACCCTTCAACAAATGGTGACGTGGTGGCACCATGCTACTAAGACAGAACTCAAACCACCCTGGACCCAAGTGAGAAAAACTGCAAGGAACAAACAACACTGCAAGTGCTCCTGGTTAAGAGAGGGACAGATGTGCAAAGTGCCACCAAAGCAGAGCCGGGCCTGAGTTGGGGGAGTGGGGGGAGCCCCTAGGAAAACAGCAGGGCACACGGAGGGAGGAGAGAAAGAAAAGGAAGATGAAGACTGAATGAAGGAATCCTGGGATTGACGGGTTAAGGGGGCTGAGGAAAAATTAAGGGAATAGGGTCCATTCACCCGCCTCCAACCCGTCAACAAGAGCTACTGGGACCAGCCGCCGTCCAGGGACAGCATGGCACTTGGCCCGCTGCCTCCAAAGCCTCCTCTCTGTGGCTCCTGCCTAATCTCCTGGAGGCCTCTTTCAGAGTATTTAACAGGCAAATGGCCTCAATCCTCCATGTCATTATCACATCTTCCTCTTCCCAAATGAGCCACAGGTGGGAGTTGCTGCCTACCCTGGACATTTGCATATTTGTCCCCCAAAGTGCTGAGTTTTGCTGTGAGAACTGAACGAACACCCTTGCCATGAGGATTCACTGGGGCTTCGGGCACAGAGCCTAAGATTTTTAGGGGGCCAGAGGGGCACCTGGGGCAGCACACCTGTCCTCAGTCCCATCTGGGAACTCAATGCAACCTGAGGCACAGACTTCCAGAGAGCCAATCACAGGCTCACCCACAGGGGGCCACGCGGCCACCAAGAGACTGTCAGAGAAACTCCAGCAGGGAAAAGACCCTGGGCTTCACCAACAATCCCACGTGCCTCTCCCCTGGCCACCCTCTCATGCCTCTCCTTCACTGACCTCAGAAAGGACCCCTGGGCTCATATGCCTATCTCCCAGGGAAAGGGGGACAGAGAAACTGGGCCCCCTGTCCAGGAACACACGTCATCCTTACCAACCACACTCTCAGACCATACTTCAACTATTAAGTTTAAAAAAAAAAAAAAGAAGAAGAAAAAGAAAAAGCCACAGCTTGATTATTCATGAAAACTTTTATACACAGAAATGTTTAGGGCTAGAGGCAGGCCTCAGTGGCAGAGTGCTCGCTCAGCATGCACAAAGAGGGGTTTGAATCCCAACACAACACAACACACACACACACACACAATATGTTTATGTTTAACTCACTCGGGATGTTGCTGAGTCACCTGGCCTACAACTGTCCAGCTCACAGCTCAGGGTAGACACATGCATTTTTAGTAATAAGGATAAAAGCAGCAGTTAGCATCAAAGACCAGCAGCAACTTCATTAACACTGAGTAGTGACCACAAGCTGAGCACCCTCCAGAGCATATGATGACGTGCATTATTTAATTCTCTCAGCACACCTAGAAGGTGAGGAATGTCATGACCCCACAGGTTCATTCGGCTTGACTAACTTGCCTAAGGTCAATGCAAGCAGTAACACAAGAACCTGCACCTCACGGCCAAAACACATCACTGACAGTCACTATGGTGGACAGGTGGCAAGATGCAATAAAAACCACAGTGCATTCCCAGGCCAGTCACCACCATCACCCACTGCCCTAAGGGCAGTACATCCCAGAGTGGGAATGCCATACAAATACATTTCTGATACACACACACACACACACACACACACACACACACACACACACACACCATTTTCTTTAATTATTCATTTCAGACAAAACACCAAAGTCAAAACATACTATTGTCATTTTTTTTATAGCTTCCTATGGTGCTGCTTTTGCATGACCATTTGCAAATAAAACATCACCTTTCTGTTTGTACAGCAAATTTCAAAGGGTAATCAAATATCTCAGGTGGCGCTACACAACTGGATGAAGGAATCTGAGAAGCTTATTAAGGCCATTTATAGCCACAAAAAACAGGCTCTGAAAGGACAGAGGCTTGCCCTAGATCACAATCAGCAAAGGCAGAGAGCCAAGATTCAAACCTGGGTCTCCTGAGTTGCCAACGTGAGAAAACCCAGCCTGCCAGAAATATTTTCCAATACATGTATGTGGGTTCGGAGGGTTCCCACACCTTCATGAAGGAATGCACCAAAGTAAACCAAGCCCCCAAAGGTGGAAAGGCTTGTATATATCTGTGCCAACACTTACATTCTCCTCCCCAACCAACGAGAGGGACCCAAGATTCCCGAATTCACTTGGCAGGGAGAAGGTTCTTACGTTGTGTGCTACTCTAGACAAATCTTTTTAAAGAGAACAAGCAAAGAAAGAGCTTTGGTTTGATAGACATTCCAAAATGAGTGGAAGAAAATTTACAGCCCACTCTCTGTTCTTCTGGAATTATCTACACTGGATTCATCTGGCAAAACAAACACAACCTACGCTACATTCAACTCGATAGACAGAATCTCTGTGGCCTGTGGGGCCCCACACACGCAGGACAGAACTGACATTTCCAATAAGTCATGTCTTTATTAGGTATAAAATCAACACCTAGAAGTGCATCTATGAGGCCCTCTCATTAACTTTTCATGAAGCAAGAGAAAGAATTGTACTTGGGGCTCCCACTGGGCCCTTCTCCCTCGGGTCAATGCTTGGTAGCACTTTCTTTCACCTGTGGCAGCCCTGAGGACAACTGTCATCCTGCAGTGTGCTCCTAGATGGTGGACAGTCTTCTTACAATGTTACAAAAAAAAAATAGAAGAAGAAGAAGCTCATTCTGATCATTTAAGTCTTGGTGACTCCAAGGAGTTGGACCCAAGAGAAACCCAGCACGGAAGGCTCTACACAGGTACAAAAAAAGAACTGTGAAGCCCAAGCTCAGAGGGGTCAGTTCTGTCCTCTTCATCCCCTAAGATGGTCCTACTACAAGGAAAGGAGGGAATCCCTTCTGATTTTTGTTACAGGAAGATAATTATCAAAGACTTGAAAATAAAGAACCCAGCTGGAAGGAGTCTAGCTTCTGTTTAGGAGTTTTCACGAAAGATCCTTGGATATGGACAAACCTCCCGTCCATCTACCCGACCACCTGGAGACTCACTCGCCTTGTGTGT